TGTGTGTGTGTGTGTGTGTGGGTGTGTGTGTGTGTGTGTGTGTGTGTGTAGGTTTGGTTATACTTGTAACAGACAAATAGTAGAAAATGTCCTCAAGTATAGTGAAACATGTCAAAAACTGACTTGTGATGACTTTTACCGCAGTCATTATTCAAAGCTCATTATTGGAACAAATCAAGTTTTTCTTCAAATCTACCATGTCAACAGATTTGTGTGAGGCAAGATTTATAGGTAGGGCTATTGTGTTACCATGAAAACCATTGTGTTTGAGAGACCTTCAGTAAAATTGTTTCAAAAGTTTGTTGTGTATTTGTTTGTATGTAGTTTGATGAAATAGAGGAATGGAGGTATATGTATATATATATATATATATAAACCAAACTTCTGCTACTGATGGTGAAAACATTTCAACTAAACCTCGACCTGAATGGGAAAGTGGGGTCTCTGATTTTATGAACATTTTGAATTGAGTGGTCCAGAAGACCGCTGAGCACTAACTCTTTCTCTCTCGCCCCATGTGTCCAGTCCCTGGTGCCAGCTCCGTTAACCCTACCGGCTGGAGGATGGAGGACTGAAACAGAGGGAACATTTAGGCACAAAAAGAAACAAAACAGCATGAAGGAAGAGAGAAGTGGAGAAGTGGGCATGGGGCAGTAATGAAAGGTCAATGAATGGTGTTTTGGTGAGTTAATTAAAGTTTAATTGAGTGAGCATTATATAAACAAAGTGGAAAAGCAATGTGAAGTGCTCTTCAGATCTGAAGTGCAGAAAAATGCTCCTTTGAGGCTGGAAAGCGAATACCGGTTGCATTGTTTTTTGTGTTTTTTAGAGCAGATATGTCAAAGCATGCACGTCAAAGCCTGTTTTTTTGGCTATTGCTACAAATATACCCCAGCGACTTAAGACTTGTTTTGTGCTCCAGGGTCACATATGTGTTTAATAATGATTGAGGAGTTTTTCTGTCTGCAGCAATGTCAGTATTTTTTAAAGCGCATAGCATGTTAGACAGAGACGTTAGCACTGTTTTTTCTGAAATATTTTTACATTTATGAATTTGGCGCGAGCTTTTATCAAAAGTGACTTACAATGCATTCAAGGTAAACATTTTATCAGTTCATGCATGATTCAAATGTTCGCATTGCTAGTGCCGAGCTTTACGGTTTGTGTTACATGAATGCTTCTTAAACTCATCAACATAAATATATTGTGTATCATCAACAGCATATCATCAGCAATGTCAACTACTCAGTGGAATGCAAAGATAAAAGCAAGGCCGATCTAAAATGTGTAGCCAATCCTAGAACATAGTGCAGTTGCTCTCAGTTGTTTTTGACCAGTAAATGACCAACTTAGACAAATTTGTTTGGTTCATTTACGTTATGTAGTAGCTTCTGAGCTCTGTAACTTTAAAGGAATAGTTGACCCAAAAATTAAAGTTCTGTCACGGTTTCTTCTGTGGAATATAAAAGAAGATCATTAGAAAAATGTCTTTCCCATACAATAGCAGAAATTATTGGTAACCACAATGGATTTGTTACCAACATTCTTTAAATGATCTTTTTAGTAAATGACAGAATTTTCATTTTTGGGTGAACGATCCCTTTAAATATGAATTGTGAATATAGTCTTCTATAAAAGTGTACAAGTCTTTCAGAAGTATTCTCAGGGGCATAAACTTTATTAAATGTATTAAAGGAATGACTCATTCACTCACAAATTCAGGTTTACTTAAAACTCTCATTTGTAAATCTTCATTGGAAACTGATTTGTGAAGCTCGTAGAGACTCACTGACAAATCTTTGTTTGGAAAAGTGTCAAATGAAAGATTAAGGAAGGTAAAATGCAAGCCAGTCCTTTGTAGCTCTTTGATTCTGTCTCCTAAAGTCAATGCATGTACTCAAACTTCTTATTTCTTATGGAATACTGCAGTGTTTATTATAAATGATTTGTCCATGCACATCATTATACATTGGTATACATATACATATAAATTTTTTAAATCCACATGCCCTCATAATCCTTAATCAAAAGCAATAACTTCAAGACAATAGTCCCTCCCCTCTAGCAACCTGTCACTCTCATGTGATCACAGCAATTGGCAAATGAAAATCCGACGATCCAATCCATTTCCAATGGACAAAATCAAGTCCCGGCCTTCATTTTTTCTTGTTCAAGAAGCCATTTCACTCAGATATACATCACAAAAGGGAAGAAAAGATGATTACAACTTCCATTTCATTCCGACTTCTGTCCTCATAATATGGAACATTTCTCCTGTCAACTCTTAATAGAGCCAAAACATGTTATGATTCCCAGTCAGTCTTGGGTCCACACAGGGGTCAGTTAGTCAAAAGACAGTCCCATCATCACATGAACGTTAGCTCTATTTACACTTCTCGCCACAACCCCTTCGGGAGGATTATGTGGATCCGATGGAACTTTTTCCTATAAGTCCATCTGAGGGGATGAGTTTATTCTACTAATGCTGGCTTTCAGAAGATCAGCTGATGATGCTCCTTCCCACAACAGAGACTAAACCGCTGGCACATGGACAGCAATTCAGCAAAATACTTTATTGAATGAGGAAAGAAGAGGCTTCAAATATACCACACACATTCATTGAAGAAATTGGTTAAGAGAAGGTCACTGTGTCTTTTGCCCCGACAGAATGTTGTTTAGGGTCTGAGTGGATGTTGTGTAACCCTGGAGATACACCAGATTTCTCTCCTGAGCTCAATTCACTTATTCTCATGGTCACTTATTCTCAGGTTCTTAGTCAATAAGAGAGGGAAAATGGTGGAGAGCTGTCCGTGGTGCTGAACAGACGGACATATAGTAATAGAAAGCTCTTTATGGTTCTGAACAGAAAACTGCTGAATTCAAGGGGCTGCTGTCCATGGTTTTGAAACTGGGACACTGGCTGCACAGTGGGAGGCGCACATACAAGGTTGCAAATTACAAGGGTGTTCCATTATCACCCTCTACGTTGCCCTCTAGCGGTCATTTTTATTATAAAACTGTAGCCATGCTGTGGAGAAATATGTTATGGGGGAAACCACAGTGTTTGTGGGTTGTTGTGAAACTGAGCTTTCTGACTGTAAACACGAAGCCACAGCTGACCTCCATTATATGGTTCACTCAAAATAAATAAATAAATGAATAAATAAATAAAATAAAAAATAACAAAATACAATAAAATAAAATGATCTCATATACTCACACTAACGTCATTCCAAACCCATATGACTTTATTTCTCCTGTGGAACACAAGAGATTATATTTTTAACTGTTTTTCAATGTTCAATTGATTTATAAAGCACTTTAAAACAACCTTAGTTTACCAAAGTGCTGCACACAGTTACATTGACCCAATCACACAATAGAATAAACACGTCATTAGAAAACCACAGTCACAAAACATTGAAAGCATGGGAAAAAAGATAAGTTTTTAAAAGACTTTTAAACTCAAACACTGAAGAAGCTATTCTGATGGATAATGGCAAATTGTTCCATAGCTTGGGGCCAGCAACAGCAAAGGCTCTGTCACCCCTACATTTCAATCTAGCTCTGGGAACCAAAAGCAGATGCTTAGTCTGTGATCTGAGTGATCTAGCTGGATTGTGTACAATTGTTTTTGTTTGTTTTTGTACAATTTGTTTTTGAACTGTTCCAACATTTGACCTCACTGACTTTTGCTGTATTGAAATAAGAAGGGTTAAACAGGTTTGCAATTACATTTTTGGGTGAACTAACCCTTCAGTAGTCACTATCTTGAACATTGAACATAAGATCAGTGTTGCATTGGCTGAAAACACTTCATTGAAACTCAAATTGGAAATTAAAAACCTTTTTGGACTGAGGTGTTTAGCTTTGTATGGCACAGAACTCCCAGCTTGCATCAAACCTTCATTTTTTTGTTGCTATTGTCATGTCTGGGCAGCTGTATAAAAAATGGGTGTCGTGCCAGGACAGCATCCTCATCCTCACTAGACATCTTTTGTTTTCTTGTTTTTAGATGCACCTCACATTGTTCACTGCAGTCTGTCAGGCAGGTGGTGCACCTGTGTAACCTGTTTTACATGCAATTACAGCACCACATGGATTCATAACAATGCTGTGACAATTTTTGATTTGGTTTGAGAGGGGATGCTTTCTTTTCTTTAAAAGCACTGTTCCCTCGCACAGTCCAGTCCTGTCTTTGTAAGTGTACCTTTGAGAAAATGGGGTGGTTGATTTCCTGCTGTTACCTTTCAAAAGCTTTCTGATTAAAGCTGAAAATCAAGAATGAAGATCTTGCTCTTGAATCCAATGCAAGGAAAGTAATGCTTATGGTTTTAGGAACAGATTAGGACAGACAGATTAGAAAGAAAGAAAGAAAGAAAGAAAGAAAAAAGAAAGAAAGAAAGAAAGAAAGATAGATAGATAGATAGATAGATAAATAGATGATGGACGGACGGACGGACGGACGGACGGACGGACGGACAGATAGATAGATGATGGATAATTGGTTCTTCCAGAAGGTTCACATAAACGGATCCAGTGTTGGGGGTAACGCATTACAAGTAACAGGAGTAACGTAATCACATTACTTTTTTCAAGTAACTAAAGTCATGCATTACTTTTTTAATTTACAAGAAAATATCGGAGTTACTTTTTCAAATAAGTAACGCCAGATACTTTGTTTCTCATGTATTGACTAACAGCTCTCCTGTCCTCATGTTGAGAGAAATCAGGAGTGAGTGCAGAGACGTTGTGTGCACTGTGAGAACATGTTACTATAGTTCTAGACTAAATGTCAACATGTATTTACTCATCTCACTCACACAAAAACGGATTCAGTATTCAAAATGAATACAAACAGTCAAATGCAAACTCAGGACATGACACAAACATGTTAAATAACACAAATATCCTTTATGTATTTAATTCCATTTTATTAACCAGTATCTTTGCTGCTAACCTTCAGTGATCAACCATACTAATAGGCAAAAATGACTTTAGATAAACATAACATTTGTTTTTTTTGTTTGTTTTTTGTTTGTTTCTGAAGAGAAAAATGAGGCCAAGGCAGATGAGAAAAAGTAACGTAACACATTACTTTCCATAAAAATCGCGCCGCGTAAACATAAAACCATGTCTGCATTTGTGATCGGAGAAACGACAAACAACAAGCGCTACTCTACAGCGCTAACTCTCCCAGGTTCAAGAAAAATTCCTCCGTAAAATGCATTGCACACACACAAATATTTGGTTTGAACTATTCTGGAACAGTGTTGTAAATACAACTTAACCACTGATTTCTAGTTGTGCCCTCTTTTGGAAGACCAAACAAAGTATTTTCGCTTTCACAACGAAACACTTAACTTTTATAAAGAACATCTCTTTGGGTTTGAGACTTTAGTCTTTGCAACTTTAGGGATCTTATCTATTCACGAACAGCTTGTAACACTCCAAAGAGAAAGGAAAACTTGAAATCGCATCATATGACCCCTTTAAGTAACGTAATTAGTTACTTTTTGGGGGAAGTAACGCAATATTGTAAATTTCCCCATCACTGAACGAAACGATAAAAAAGATTCTATGAGTAATATATACTCATATATATTTGTACTATACATATTTCAACACAGTTATAGGGTGTTTTATTATATCTAGCAAATGGATAGACAGGAAATATATGATGGATAGGGCTCTCAAATATGTAGTGTTGAAAAGTCTGATTCATTATAGTGGATCAGTTTGTTCAGGTGGTTCACATAAATAAAATAAATAAATAAAAAAATGATTCAGAGATTTGACTCCCTGTACTATATACTATGTTTTGAATTAGGAATTTTAATTTAGGAATTAGGAAGTGTGGTATGTAAATTACGATTATTTTGTTGTATTTCATATAAGATGGATGGATGACATATGTATGATATGTATGAACAAAGTCTGATTCATTCTAGTGAATCAATTCTATACAGAAGGTTATACCCAATTCATGCAAATTAGGGTGTTTTTGATGTGTTTAGTAAATTGATGAAGGTGGGAACAGACATGAATATATATGTATGAATATGTGTGTGTGTGTGTGTGTGTGTATATATATATATATATATTATATATACAGTATATATAATACAGTTCTCTTATATATAGTGTTGAAAATTCTAAATGATTTGAGAGAATCAGGTGGTTGACATAAATTAACATATTTTAAAAAAAAAGATTCACACATTTGACTCCATGTTTTGATTTTTGACTGAGTTATGTAAATTAGGTTTTTTGTTGTATTTAGTATAAGATGGATGGATGGATGGATTAATGGATAGACAGACAGACAGACAGACAGACAGATAGACAGATAGATAGATAGATAGATAGATAGATAGATAGATAACAGAAAAGGTGCCAGTGCCCTTAAGCAAGTACCTAGGTTGCTTGAGGGGGACTGTCCTCATGATAAAAAGTGTCTTCTAAATGACAGGCACGTATGCACAGCTGTCTTTGTGTGTATATGCCAAAACAAATTCAATTCAGGTGTGTGATAAAGCTTTGATCCTCAGGAGTGATTGATTTAGCTTTGAATACAGCGATTCTGAACCCTGAAAGACACATTTCTCTTGATTCAGTGAGGCTCTGCTTTCTGTACGGTTTCTTCTGAGAAGTTTGAACCTTTTGTTTCGAATCAGGGTGGTTATGTTGAGACTTTTTCAAAGCTCATGCTATGAATATAACATCAATATGGACAAAGATCTAACAATCTCCCAATAAATTATGCAGACGTCCTACGTTCTAGCAGCGTAGCCAATGGCTTGTGTTCAAAAGAAGACAGACAGTTTTTGTGTCTGTTTGTCTGCGTGCTTTTATACCCGTGTGTGTGAGAGTGTATGAAAGACAATCTGGGGGTGTGTTTATATGATTTGGAGGTGTTGTGTCTCTAAGCCGTCGTTAGGGCTTTGCTCGGGAAATAATAAGACGCGTTTTGCAGGAAAAGGTGAAAGTTTCAAGGCAAATGAAAGCACGGTTGAAGGGTGAAATCAGTCTTGGCAGAGTTTAAGTGCAGTTGTGCTGACTGCTGTCAGAGGCTGTGGCAGAACTTAAACAAAATCCAGAACCCCTTTAGTTTTATAGACATTTTATTCATGACCTCAGAGTGTAATTTACTGATAGAGGTTCACGATCACAGCAGCCCCGAGGGCACCCTACTGCCGTCTGTACTGTCACTGCATGCAAAGGGCCCCACTAGAGCGTTTCTCTTATAGTTTTTGATCTCGCCTCTCCAATTTACCCTCCCATCTCTCTATCTCACTCTCTCACTTTCTGACTCTCCATTGCTCTCTTTTCCCCCCTCTCTCTCTCTCTTAACTGTCTGGTGTGTTTTCAGGTCTTTGCCCCGAGGCAGCTGTTCAAATCAGATTATGGTAGAATAGTTGTGATAATCTGCTCAGATCTTCGGGGACAGGACACATCAGGACCAACTGGACCCATTAATAAGCTCTTCAGCTGATGGAGACATTATGATGCATAGCATAACGACTAAATGACATGCACAGGTACATATGCTGAAATTGTTATCCTAACTATCGGGATGGCAGTGCCCGGTAGGTACATCAGGTTCTCCCTCTCTTACGCTTTGCCAATTTGATGCCTTTGTACTGCTTAACCACTAAATGTGTTTCAGTCCACTCGCATTACAAAAATACTCTCATTTCCAACTTGAAAGTGCACTCTGTGGGTTAGGCATAAAGAAAGAGTTTGTCACACAGAATTAGCCTTCAAAACAAAACAACGGAGTTTGTGTGCCCCCCCCCCCTTATTTCTGCTGATGATTGACAGCTGTCGTTTTGGATCAGTAATAGAGACGAAGCAAGGGCTTTTGGAGATAGTGTCTGTCACTGGATCCCCAGGAGACGGAGAGTACACACACACTCACACACACACACACACACACACACACACATGCACCTAGGTTTTAACACAGTATTTACAGGTCACAGTGTATCTGTAATTTGAGATTTCAATATAGATTACAGCAAAATCACAGACAATATTCTGTAAAGGCTAGTTTACACTGCACTGACAAACATCAACAGGATTAACACCAACTAAAAATAGCAATGGTACAAATTTAACATTTCAGTAGCATGGCAGTCTTTAGCTGTTTTGTTTTTAATCTTTTTAACTGTTTTCAAAGTGTAGTTTTTCCAGTAACAAGCTAGTGTTTCCATCGTTACATCACTGTTTGTCTGAACTGAGGGAATAATCAAACACGCTCATCTAAACGGTAATTTCTCTGCAGCATCAGTAAGTCTGATTAATTGTAGTGAATCAGTAGTGAATACTTCAGAAGATAAAAAAATAATAAAATGAAATGTTGAATTATATAATTGGATGGCTGTTATACTTAACATATTTTTATTTATAAACATATTGTCCCCTTAAGTAAATTCAATCTAGTTCTACTTTTTGTCTGTGGCATGTAGTATAATATTCCAGAAAGCTGTGTAATAACATGAATTTTGAGAACAAAGTTATGGAAATGCATTCTAAAGTCTGGGGTCAGTAAAATTAAAAAATATATATTCTTTTATTCAGCAAGGATGCATTAAATTGATTAAACTGAAAAGTGACAGCCTAGACACCTAAAAAAATATATAAAGCAGCACGACTGTTTTCAACATTGATAATAATAAAGTCCTTCTAACTCATTTTGTTAGATTTTTCTGAATTCATAATCTTTTTGCTTCACAAGTAAATTAATCTTATTTTAAAGATTTTTTACTAGAAAACAAGGCAAAAATACTAATTAAGAACATTCTTTTTGCAGTGTGTTTGTTGTTATAGAGTGCATCAGCCTAAACACACACATAGACACACACATACACACACTTCAACTGTAAGACAACACAGTATATGCAGTATAAGCTTTGAAACATTACTATTCATGATATACTGTTCATGACATACAAAACGTACTGCACCACATATAAACACACACACATACACAATCTTAGACTATTGATTTTTCCGTACATTTCTGCCATATGTACATTGACTGACAGTCACCACTGATAAGCTACCACTAAATATTGTAGAAACTTAATTTGCTGTAAAGTTGCTTTGCAATGATTTGTATCGTGAAAAGCGCTGTACAAATAAACTTGAATTGAATTGAATTGAACTGTTAGACAGCATTTGCTGGTCACAGTCTATCAGCGTTTCAAGCGTTCAGAAATTACAGTATATGACAACTACAGACAGACCCGCACACACATAAGCCTACACATACTGTAACATTTCACTGAGCTTCATAATATATCCTGACACTTGCCAACAGCAAACCTCTTATCATCTAAAGGTCATTGTGAATCTTCCTACAGTTGTTTAGATTTGGAGTGTTGCTGCAATATCTTCCGACCTGCTTTTTTTAATCTTGCCAAAGGGTCCGTCAGAATCATCACAGACCCGTTCTTCCTGAGTTTTTCTTTTTTTCTTTTTTGCTGCGTTGTCATGGTGATATGATTATTGCCTACCAACAGGAGAAGAACAGGATGCCGTGTTCTCTCTCTGTACAGTTTGAGCTGTGAGAGAGACTCCTATTATATCTCGCTGTAGAGATGATGAGGTGGCTCAAAGTGGAATGCATTTAATTATTTTAATGATTTGCTGCATTATATCAAGGATGTTTTCATTTGTATTTCTCTCAGTCTCCGTTCAGACGGAAAGGATCCAGAATGAGGCTAAAGCTCATGCGATCAGTCTTTTGGGTGGAGTGTGCCGCATACAAGAAGAGTGACATGCGTACGATGCGACGACCCTGCCTGCCATCTCTCTCCTCACTTTCTCTCCGATTCAGTCACCTTTCCGCGACCCCTCATTCTTTATCCTGCTTTTAAATTTTTATTGCCCCCCTTTTTCCTCTGCTCCTCCCGTCTTTGGCCCCAGTTGCCCCCAGCAACAGCAGCAACGGGGTGTGCACACTTGGGTGTGTGTCGCGCATTTATACCGTGAACGCCCCACACACATGGAGTTCAGGTATATAGAGGCTCATTCATCAAGGTGTCAGTGGTGTTTCTGTGGTAAATTAGCCATGTCTCCTCTCTACTCTGGATTCCCTCTTATAAACCAGCCTTCAGGGAAACCATCCCTCTCTGCCTCAACCTCTCTCCTTCTTCTCTCGCTTGGACGGGGGGGATGTTTGGTAGGGTGGTGGGGGTCACTGAGAGAAAGAGGGACAGAGATTATTGGGTTTGTACTTAGTTTTCCTCACTTGATCGGATACATTAATGCTGCGTTGTGGCTTTCTGCTCTCTGAGTCGTTCAGCCAGACCTCAGTAGAAAAGTCACAACCTGCTTCAACATTCAGAGCTCTTACAAGCATCTTTACCCCTTTAATTAAAATCACTTGCGTACGGCCCAATAAGAGAAAACAATAGCATCACATCACTGGTTGACTTTGTTTGTAAACTGGCTTTCTTTATAAAAATGAGTCTTCATACTTTAGACCAGATATTAGATTAGACTGCACAAACCCACAAACATTCATACGATACAAATAGTTTCAAAGCTTCAAAGTGTTAAACAGGAAAATAACAGAATCAATGATGAAAATATTTGTTTTCTTTTTATTTATTATACAATTAACAAAAGCAAAAAAGGCCTCTAACACTAGCTTGCTCTATTCTTTTTCTATTCTATCTGTTTTCTTTTTATTTATTATATAATTTAAAAAAAACCTTGCTGCGTGTACTGCGTTAAGCTAACTAAGACTTGTTATAGCACTCGCTTATCATTGCTCTCTTGTTGATTTTGATTGCTTCCATTGTCCTCATTTGTAAGTCGCTTTGGATAAATACGTCTGCTAAATGACTAAATGTAAATGATGAAAACTTTACCAAATATCAGACAATTTTTGATGTAAAGCAGCTCTAAGAAACAGTAGTGTCATTATTCTGCTCAATTCAGTTCAGTGTTGGTTCAGTTCAGTTAAATAATGGTGTAGTTCATCAATTATGACCAAGTTTAATTTAGCTACTGTATAAGCAGCTCTGTTGAAGACAATAGTGTCATTATTTAGCTCGATTCAGTTGTGCTGATTCAATTCAGTTTAATAACCATGTCAATGTTAAATATTGATTATATTACTGAATATTAAGTGTCTTTTAAAACCCAACTAAGCACGCCAAAGGTGACAATGGAAAGGAACTCAAACTTCATTAGGTGACAGAAATGGAGAAACTAGCTTCAGTCGGGGCCTGAAATAAAACATGTCCCACATCATTTTGTGCTACATATGTAGCAATCAAATTTAGACATTTTGTCTGGTGAATGATAAAACAGGCAAAAAAAAAAACAAAAAAAAATGACATTAACACGAGTTATGACATAGAAACCGTATAGCAGTGCCCTGGCAACCACCCAGTATCATGACGGTGGCCTTTTTGACACAGTTAAAAAAAAAAAAAAAAAGATGCATGGCCCGTTTTTCTGTGTTCAAGGCAACTGATCTGTTTCTGAAGAAAAACCCTGAGTTTGCAGGTATGAATTGATTTTACAAGAAACTCTTAAGACTTTTGTAAGTTAATGAGACCTGTGAGTGTGTGTTTAAGCAGCTTTAATTCCCTGTGGGAAAATCCATCAGCTGAGGGAGAAAGCCAACAGCAGCAAACACAGCCAACCCACTCTGAATCTCTCAAGTCATGAATGACACTGAAATGTCCTTCAGTTGTTTCAAGGTTTTCAGACGATACATTATGGTAGTTTTGAATGGCATTCTTAGATTTTCTATTTTCAATCATTTAATTAAAATATTGTACATATAATATAGAGGAGAGTGGGGTGAGAATGATGCACCAGTACTTACTGTATATTGTTCTTCAGTGAGAAATAAGAGGTAAAGCTTAAATTGTAAATGAAGGATGCCTCTGATCAGCTGAAATCATAAGGAAGCATGAGGTGTAAAAAATAAAGAGAAATTGTACATAAGGTAAAGTATGGGTATTGTGTAACTTTTTCTCAATTACAAGTACCTAGCTAAAACATACTTTAGTGAAAGTAGACAAGGTACCACATTTAATTCCACTCACAGATTTAAAAGTTCTTAGATTAGAAATAGACTAATGAAATTGATCAGACAGAGGGGATTTTCTCATTAAAGTAACTTTGATATACAAACTTTGTAAAGTAGACTCTTTAATCACAATTTGTCCTGACTGTGTAGAGCTTTAGAACACATTACGTTTAACTGAAACCAATATACTGAAATTTTTAAGGCTTTAAATTCATCTTTTTTTTTTTTTTTTGTAATTTATAAGGTTGAATTCATTAAGAGATGAGAGATGGAGATAATTAAAAGTCTAGATTTCAGTGACTTATGAGGTGTTTCTTCATAAGGACCAGTGACCTATTATAGTTGTTGCCAACTACATTTTCAACTAAAATGGATTTCAATGGACATTTTAAGTAAAATCTGGGAGTGCTTTTGAAGTGACTTTTATTTTAAGAGGCTTAAGTCTTCATTAAGTCATATACTTTATAGACAGGGGTTTAAAGTCCTTTATTAATTGCTCATTACTAAGTCTTAATTATTCATACTCTTATTCATTTATGCTTCCAAGGCAAAAATCACACTTTTTACCCCCATTCAAATCGCATTCAGTCTTTCAAAGTATATTAAATAAATATATAACATGAAAATATGACTTCTTAAAAATGTGTTGCAATGATACAACTTTAGCGGTAGATGCAGGATTTTTAAGGATGAGAATGAAAATTCTGTCATCATTTACTCACCCTGACTTCCCAATCTGTTTGACTTGCTTTCTTCTGTGGAACATAATAAAAGAAGACCAAAATTCCAACATTTGACCATGTTTACCAACACTTCAAAATATCAGCGTTTGTGTTCTGTAGAAAAAAAGAATGCCAAGCAGGTTTGGAATGATATGAGGGTGAGTAAATTATGACAGAATTGTACATTTTGAGTAAACTATCTCTTTAACTGGTGACAGAACTTACTCTACTCTCGAATAAAAAGGATGTGGAGATGAGAAGAGAGCAAGGTTTTTCTTTCTGTCTGTAATGATGTTGAAGTACGAGACCTGAAGCTCGGTGCTCCCCCTCACCCCTGGATACAGGTTAGGGTGGATGAAAAAGGAGACTTTTACCAGAGTCGTCAGCAGGACGAAACACGTGCCACAGGTGGGTGCATAGTAATAACTCAACAGTTGCTGATTACAATTTCTTCACATTCTTCTCGGTTTGAGCTTCGGAGGCGTTCAATTGTTTATGCAGCCAGCCATGATGAAGATCCCCTGCCGGGCTTAAAATTACAAATTTAATGTCATTCGCAAGTTCTTAATGCAGACACAACCTACAAAAACACCAAGTAATCAGCAAATGTATTACCATGTACATTAAGATAGACAGACAGACAGACAGACAGACAGACAGATAGATAGATAGATAGATAGATAGATAGACAGATAGACCTCTGTTCTTTTGTTTCAGTGTCAAATCCAGCTGAACGCACTTCTACTAATATTTGAACGCTTTGGACCATGTGGACGGACAGCACATTTTATTTATGAGAAGCATTTATAGTGATCTTTTAATGTCTGTGCTATGGGTTCAAATAGTGAAGATTTTGTTTGTATTCAGTGCATGTGACAGAAAGAAAATGGAAAAACTAAACATCACTATTCACCCCACTGAAAGAACATACAGATTTCATTCTGTGTGTGAGAGAGAGTGAATGTGTGTGCGAGTGTTGAATAAGTCTGTTCATGCACTTATGTGTATAGGTGTGTTTGTGGTTTTCATGTATGTCCATGCAATCTGCATGTCATTGTGTTTGTGTGTGTGTGTGTGTGTGTGTGCACAGCATGCAAGGGTGTACAGCTCTCCCTAAAGACAGATCTTAAGAGTGAGCGAGCAAGTAAGAACCAGGCTTAGAGGAGATCCAGGGGAGAGAGGGGGATTTCTGACAACTCAAGCCCAGTGGGGAGTGAGGGAGCTGGGCTAAAAGAGCAGAAAGAGGGAGGGTGGGTATCTGGATCTCAGCTTTACTGATGTATAGACCAGCAGTGCAGAGATGGATGTGAGATAGGAAAGAAAGAGAAATAAAAAGGGGGGATGAGACAGAGGCGAGGGAGTGAGAATAGACATTATTACTTTCTTGATACAGCTCTCTTTTTTTAATGCTTTCTCTTACACATAGCCGCCTCCTCCAACACCACATTCAACATATGCAGAGGGGGGGAAGAATACGGAAGGTAGATGTTTTAAGCAGCATTTATGAAACGCTGATTCATTGTAATTGCAGGGCAGAATTCAAGACCTGAGCAAAATTAAGGGATTACAAGCACACACATATTCACTCTGTCCATGTAAGGACATAGTTGAGGACAACCACAGATTTAGTCCATTTAGGGACAATTTTGTTGTTAAATAACCCTCACTATTATTTATACTATTGTGGGGACTTTGATTGGATTTTATTGTTTTTATTAGCTAATGAAATTTTCGATCCCCTAAACATAACTCACAGGAACCTTTCTGTTTCGATTTTCGTTATTTTTTCAGCATGCTTAAACTGCTTTTCTTGCTGGGACCATTGACTGGTACCCCAATGTAGATGGTTGTGGGGAAGGTATGACAGAGAGAGATGATGAAAATTTTTTAAAAACTATCATTAACTTCCATTGAGTCAGTGTTGCATCAGTGTGACACACAATCAAAATTCTCTTCTGCTGGCCATGTGTTTGTGTGTGTGTGTGTGTGTGTGTGTGTGTGAGAGAGAGAGAGAGAGAGAGAGCAAATATCCACCCTGTTCTTACACACACACACCAGCAAATCTAAAAAGAGGGGTGAGTGAATGATTAATATAAAAGGGCAGTTGTTGCTTTGCATTTATTATTGATTGAACTTAAAGAAATGTAGAAATAACAAGCAAGTATTAAATGTCAATGGCACTAAAAAAATGCTCCCTTAGGTGAATGCTGAATCTCTTATCACAGAGCTCTTTTACTACTTTCATTTGAGGTCCAGTACGTGTGTAAGTCCGATATGTTAAGACTGAAAGTAAACTTAACAACTTAATACTGTGTTTAGTATCATTAAGATAATCGGGGTTTGCAAATGAAATTGGCCATAAAGACCTGGCTAGAAAGTAAACATTCAGAGTTCACAAATTAAATGTTGAAAATGTAATGGACATTTTAATACTATTGTTTTCAAATTAGGAAGAACATTAATATGATCATTTGGAGCCCAAATCATTGACATTTTAGAATATTAGAAGACAAAATATCCCAATTAACCTGAATTAAATGTATACACGCACATGTCTTAATGTAATTTACAATATTAGTTTACAAAATACATTTAAAAGTGAAGAAAGAATAGTATATTTTTCTTGTTCCATTTTAATCCACTCATTGAGAAATTGAGACTAGATCTGTGCCGCGGTCTGCTAATTGACGACTGCTAGCTTTTGTACAGAGAATGTCCTGATGTATTATGCAGGGTGGTGATTTCATCAAAATCAATCGGAGGGTATAACAAACAGGCTGGAGTCCCTTTAAGGTAAATCAGTTTGCTGAGCAGCCATCTTGGCAATGTCCCCCAGGCAGCTATTTTTTATCTAGGCAATAGGCATGCATGTACAGATCTAATTGAATGGGGGAAAACAGAAATCTCGGCAACTGTTTGTCAAGATTACTTTTCAATAACGTCAAATC